AAGATTAATTATTTTCATATAAAATAGGAGATAAATCGACAAAAATTTCTTTTCTATTCATCCTTAGAGTTGAATAACTCATTTAAGAACTGTTTTTGATCCAATATGTAAGAATCAATAAAAAGGATAAATTCCATATTTTGCACCATCTCCAGCTCGATTATTGATAAAGTGAATGGATTTTTCATTTCTTGAAATCTCTCTTCTGATTCAAAATCATGGTGTAACGCTTATCTTCCATTTTGATAATATAGAATAGATGAAATATATCAAAAAGTGGATTTTTTTTTTCAAGAAAGAAATCTTATTAGAATTGTTTATATAATGTTCATCTTTCAAAACTATATATCATATTGGATTTGATGAAATGGGATGAATTGAGACGGTATTTTGTACATATGTAATCATCTTGAAAATATTAATTATTTCTTTATTTTCGATCACTTGGGAAGCATAAAAGAAATGTCTTGCTCTTTTTTCAATAATTTAGTAGACTTTCAATAAGATTTAGGTGAGAAAAAGGGAGATTCAGTTTAAAATTAAATCAAATCAAAATTTAAAAGGACAAACCAAACTTCTGAGATCAAAACGGTATCTAACTAAAGTTATTGTGAGAATCGAATTGAACCAGACCAAATTGGCTCAATTTAGTCAATAAGGTCTATTTCTTGGTTTTGTGATAGGATCAGTTCAATTTTAAACCTAACCGATTGGGTTTTATAAAATCATGCTGAACTACCTTGAAACTTCAATTTAAATTGAAGTAAACTAAGAGTCGAACTTGTTGTGAGCAAGACAACCGAATTGAAAGTGCTGATTCAGTTTTTTTATTCAACTTGCTTGGTTATTTTTCCTAGTCTTTATAGGATTTGAACAGAAGTGAAGTTTTGATAATCTATTAAAGAAAAAAGAACGAATAAATCTTATAAGATTCTGAAGAAATTCTTTGATTTCTTCTAGAGGTAAATGATTAATCAGCTCCTTCTCCCCTCCCATGAATAGTTGGAACATTAAGAAATATCCAGAAAGGCATTTAGAAAACTTGATCTAATTTATTTATGTTCCATCTTTTTGAAGGAAGGATTCTAAAGAATAGATCTTGCTTTAAGTTGTTCAACTTCAATTGATTTGATATTCCAAATCCATATCAAAGATACAATGAATTCTAATCAAATATACAAAGTGGCTTTGTGTCACGACCCGTTTCCATGAGCTGGACCGACACTAGGGCCCAGGTAAGTTTAAGGCCGCCGAGGCCCGTAATAAGCCTAAATCACTAAAATTTAATTATCTCAATATGAATTTCCACCATTCAGCCCATATTACCATGCTCAATAAACCTCATAATTATATTATATTTCGGCTCCAAATTTAACATTTTACACATTTTATAGATCGGGCCCAATTTTTAATACATTACATTTATAATATGGGCTCATAAAATTATTACACCTATATTAATACACAACTAGAAGTATATAAATCCTACAACTGTGGAGTTCACAAACAAACAGGTATAAATAGGTTCTTGTACATATAGTTATATATAGCAAAATAATCACTGAAACATAAACATAAACAAGTTTTAATACATATAGTTATATAATCTAAATAACTGCTAACTCTCTGAAACTAGGAAAATTTCTTTCTAGCTCTACGATGAAGAAACAGAACTTAAACCGAAATAAAGAGTAACCTACTTCCTGAAAAGTTAAACAAGACATGTGAGTTTTATAAGGAATAATAATTATTGCACAATATATGCATTCACATGAATGTGTAAATATATCAATCTAGTCGTTCGACTAGTTGCATGATCACGCTGATAATCACACAAAAGGCATAACAACAGCACTCACAATTATTAACAACTTCACTTAATCACATCACGTCGAAATTGGTCCGTAGCGTCACCGAAACCCCCGATGAGCCGTCCTTCCACATGGCCCATCCTCTCATGACGTGTGCACAGGAAGCCGATCCCCCATGCATGGCCGACCAGTCTAATCCTCACTTAACTAACCTTCTCATTGTTTTTCCATTCTCTCTTTTCTTTTCTATATCAACAGGAGGCCACCCTGTGGTTTTCCATATCATCCATATCATATCATCAGGTGCCGTGCAACACCGGGGGCCACCGATCTCTCCCATACAATGGCCGAGGTATCGAAACCGCCTCACAAACCCATGGTGACCCACTTCATCCTAATACGACACAAACAAGAAACCAATGTACAACACAAAATAATCAAATAATTGCATTAAATGCAAGCATATCAAGCAATCAAAACACTAGCATGCAAGAGCTTCTAAATAAAACATTCATATGCCAATTAATAAATACGAGAGTATTAAATAATAATATAATAATATAATAATATAATAATAATAAAATAAATAAAAAACTTTATTTTAAAAATATCAAGGTATAGAATTAATCTAAATAAACCTATTAATTTAATTATTATATATGATTAGCCTAGATTCTATCAAAATTTCGGCAGAAACTTCTCTAAAAATTGGGCTAAACCACCCGCCTAAAACTATAATTCAGTAATAAATTCTCAAAGCCCATCCATCGGGCAATTCACAACAACTAGTCCCGTCCGCCATAACCATTATCCACTCATTTTATCATTTACTCAATTCACACAGCCCATCCGTCGGGCAATCAATCAAATCATAAATTTATGAATTAAAGTAACTTACAGCCTGTCTCAATGATATTCTCTACCATTCTTTACTTAAGATATCAACAATGTCCTCGAACATTTATGAAATTCTAGACTAATTATTAAAAATGGATGGTTCAATTAAATTATAATTTAATAAAAGCATATAATTTAATAAAAGCATCATCTAAGTAACCCAGTTCACAACTTAACTATGTATCAATTAAAGCTTCATGTATTCTTCTCCGTCTTGACATAAAAATTCCCTTTCTAGATATAACCGACACTAATCATATAAAAACATTGAAAATATCTTTATGTCCATTATTACATTAGTCTATATATAAAATGGTATAGTTTATCTGCAATAGCTACTATCCAACAAATACTAGGTTCTCCCTTGCTTAATCTTATATACTATGCTTACTGCACTGGGAATTTAATTCACGACTTTATTTGGTTTATAGACCAACTATATTATCTTTCAATAATTTTTCTTTGAAATAATATTCTTTTAGCACCGTTGCAAGTAATTTTAATTAAGTAATCGAATTCATGAATGTTTACAAGTTATCATACTTAATGATTCGCAGGATTAATCATAAAAAACCTATGTGATTAACTAATATTAGAAATATTCAAATGAATAATAATTATTCTTGAAGTATTCTACCAAACCATCTTCATCAATATACCATTTCATTATCATACTTAATGATTCGCAGGATTAATCATAAAAAACCTATGTGATTAACTAATATTAGAAATATTCAAATGAATAATAATTATTCTTGAAGTATTCTACCAAACCATCTTCATCAATATACCATTTCAATTTATTTATGGATCAATCACATCTATTAATTAAGGAAATTATATATATGCATTTCAAAATCCTATGATTGCTTTTTAATTAAATATTTATTCGAAGCCAACTTATTTAACTAAAATTTTCAAATTTGGAATTTTTACCAAAAATTAGGAACTGGGTCTTAGAACGTACCAGTCGAAAATCGGATGATGATTCCATGATCAGCGCGAGGAAGGGATGATTCTGCCTCTTTAGGGCCTCGCCGGACCGCCGCCAGGAAATCGATTCTGTCCAGAAGTATGCGATTCATACATCCTTAGACTCGAATTTTCACAGGGAGCTCGATTTTGTCGTCCGTTTATTGAGCCACTGGCTAGTTTGGCCGAAATAGGCATCAACAGTCGCTTAGTGCCGCCATTAATGGTGGTTTCACCATTCGAACTTCGTTGTCGGAATTGATAGAGGGGAAACGATCGCATAAGTGAGGGGATTCGATCGGTTCCCATCCTTCACGTTGTAACTGTTGAAAATGGTGAGAAGTCGCTGGAGATCGAAAAGCATGGACTGTCGATGAAAATGGGCTCGATTCGTGTTAATGGAGGCCCTTTCCGCGTGAGAGGTGATCGGAAACGTGACCAGCAGCATTTTACATGGTTTACGAGTTTTTCACTTGGTTTTCAGAAAAATTCAAACTGGTTTACGGGTCCGGTATAGCAATAAATAAATATTTTCCGTTGAATTTCATTGGTTAAAATTTACAATCAAATTTTTAAATGAAAAATTTTGAAAAAGATTTTCCGGGTGGTTTCACTTTGATACATTATTCACAACAACTAGACTTTCATCAAGAAATAATAAAAGGATCCATGCAAGCACAATTGAAAAAGGTTGAACCCCTTACTTTTCTCATGGTACAATCATCTTCTCGCTTCACCCCTTTCTCCTTGGTCCATAGAGATAAAAAAAAAATATAGGACTAGTGCTAAGAGTTCATGATGGAAGAAATGACACATTAAGTTGGGATCGTTAACTAATACTAAAGACACAAATTACCTATAAATAATAAAAATATATGATAATAAAAAATATAATAACAATAATGATGATAAAGAAATTTTTACAAAGTGGAAAAAGTGGTAAATTAAAATTTTATTCAAAAACCATCAACTATCCTTTCAATTTTTATTTTTTTATTTCTTTTAAGAATACAATATAGTAATTACAACAAAAGAGCAATTAAATATAGTGATTTTTTATTTTATTTCAAAAATACAAGAAAGTAAATTAAAAAAAGAACAATTAAAAACAATGATTGAAGAGCAGAAAAAAAACAAAATAATACATTTTATTATTATTGCACCTTTATAATTAACATGATGCAGATGCACCTTTATAATTGTCCAACTATGATTCCATGAAGAGATAACTGGTCGGTCTAGAATTGAGTTAGGGCCCATTGAATCTACGTCTATTAGAATGTCTTTGAGCACACATTGGGTAGGTTGGCTTAATTGGCCATGGGCCTATTAGTTCGAAAGAAAAGGGAGAGAAGGAGAGATAGATTGGAGGGAAAACAACCAGGTGAGAGGAATAGGAAGAAGATGGAGAAATCGAGAGTTGGAAAAAGAAGAAGAGAGACAAAGATAAGAGAAACAAAGGAGGAGAGAGATAGAGCAAGTACTACTGCATTCAGGTTAGCATATCTTGTTTCGTGACATTTAAAACAATGTTACCCCTATTCATACGAAAAATGCACTTCAAGTGAATATTCTAGAATATCTAAAGACCTATGACAGCTACAGGCCCAAGTAGGCCCCTTGGTAGAATATGCACTATATATAGTTCTCATATTTTTTGGGCATGAATTTCGGCCTAACCTTCTGGGTCAGCGTTAACAATGTCCCCTGCACATGGACTTTTCTAAACAGACTCAAAGGCCCATGTACACGATAGGTTGGCCCCATGACGTTAAAGGTGTATCTCATCACTTGGAAAGCCATGCCTTTCTTGAACACATCTATCTTTTGAAATGCCTCCCTTCGTTTACTATAAAAAGGAAGACCCATATTTTATCTTTATCATTTTGGTAACTATTTCCCTCAATCTTCCCTCTTTTTCAAATTGGTCACTCTTTATTCTCATATACCTCTGTCAATGCCTTATTTGGTCGTTCAGTATCGCACCCGTTTGTAGCTCGTAGTTTCTTATAGAACGAAAATCAATTATCTTGAAAGTGGGGGTGCCTACTGACTGAACATACTTCATCCAAGGTTGATGCAGTCAAGTATGTGGATAAGGAATCTGGTCAAAATTCTTAGTCCGTGTTTTAAACAACAGACTTCGGCCATCACTAGTTTATCTTTCTTTGCCCATGATGTAATATCCTCAATTTTGTAGTTCTTTCTATTTTAGCTTTTTCGATGAATTCGGTTATCCGAATAAAAGGAAAACTTAAAATAATGGGAAACAATCGGTTATCCGAATGAAAAGGAAAACTTAAAATAATGGGAAACACTAATAGATTGAGGATATTACATATTAATTAAATGAAACATATTGATCTTTACAAAATCCATGTTGAAAGCACCTTTTGCAAATCAATGTGAAAGCTTAAAGGAAATCAAAAATGAGTTAAAAGATGAATGACTTCTCGGTAAAGCACGGATAATGGTTCTCATTTTCAAGCGGATGTTGGTCAGTTGCTTTATAGGTACAAGGTTGAGCATCACCACTCTTCTCCTTATCGCCCTCAGGCTAATGGTTCAGTAGAAGCTGCGAATAAGGAGATTAAAAGAATACTGTCGAAGATGTGTGAAAGGTACAAAAGTTGGGCCGAGAAACTTCCTTTCACGCTCTGGGGACCTCGCACTACCTTCAAATCAGTGAATGGAGCTTCTCCTTTTGAACTTGAATATGGAATGGAGGCAGTGTTACTGATAGAGCTCGAAAAGAAGTCTCTCAGAGTTTTTGTGGAAGCTGGTCTGATCGAGGAAGAATGGGTCAAGAAAAGGTATGAAGATTTGGTGCTTTTAGATGGAACAAGATTGAATGCTCGATTCCTCCTTCATTTCTATGGATTACTTTTTGAATTCCATGAACTTTGAAGTGAGGTGCTTGTTTGTGTAATCTGATTTGGTGAAGATGAAGTGATGAGTGATGAGAAGTGATTTTAAGGTGATTTAAGATGATTGAAAGTAGTTATGCATGAATTCAAAGTCTAAGTTGCTTAAGTCACCAAGATGGATGATTTTGAGTTTGTTCTTGATATGCCATGAACTAGGGATTCTGATATTCTTATATTATGATGTTATGTAAGTAATAGAAGTAGAAGAGTTGAATTGCATGAATTTGTGCTGAAGTTGAGTTGAGAAATGCGTTGAGCAAAATATCATTGTTGGACCTGTTATGTTGGGCTGTCTGAACTTTCAGCTTCTGTAATTGCACCTATTTTGGCTCAAGCAAAACTGAACTTCCAAATTCGTGAAAATTACATGCGAGATAGGCGCTGAGATGTTGGTTAGGGGTTCGTAGGTTGAAAAAGGGAAGGCCATTTGTATAAAAGGGAAATGGAGAGTATATAATGAAATTAGTACAAGCTTGCTCAGCATTGAAGAAATTGACATTCAGATTCTATAATTATTGTCATTAAAAAGCAAAATGAGCTTTAAAATTATGAATGCAAATGAGCTTTAAAAATTATGAAATTTTACAGGGAAGTACCCTAAGATGTTGGGAACATGCTGTAAAAATTTCAGGGCAAATGAATTTGAGGAAGTCCAGATATAATCAATGGAATACAAGCTACTCAAATGCTGAAATTCTGCATTTCATAAACATTGAACGAATTTAGCATGCTATTGACTTCTATTGTTTTCATTGTTGTTATTCTGTGTCTAGGGTGTGGTTAAGTGTTGGATATGAAGTGTTTCATGCTTAAACTCAGATCATATAACACTTGGACAAGCATAGTGAAAATGAAAGAAAAAGCATGATACTACATTCTAATGCTTAATTTACATTCCTATAGAAGTGCATGTGTTTACATTGTGTAGTATGATCTTAATGTGAGTATTAATATCATGCTACAGCTTCTGAGAGAAAGGGAGTTGAGGAGAGGGTGATTACTAGAGGAAAAGGGCTAGGGGAGCCATCTAGTTCAGGTTAGTGTTATTATTCCTTTCCTACTTTTATTTAAACAAAATGCAAAATTGAAATGATTTTGCAAAATATTTTCAATGGATTTTGCTTTATGAATATAATTATATTCATAAGTTTTTTAAAGAGGAAAAAAGGATTATTTTGAAAGCCAATTACGACTGAATGATAATTTGTAAATGAATTTTATGATCTATACCAATGGTAAAGAGGAGGATGTTGGCAATTGATGTTTTTAGCAGTGGTTGTGAAATGAAATGTTGTCCATTGTGATTTTCATATTATTACATAAATGGAATGGTTTAAAAGTCTTACAGCTGATATAGACATGGTTATTACCCCGAATATCATTTCATTTGTTGAAGATGATATTATGATCGATTGAACATGGCTATCATCACTAGATGATATATGATTGATATGAAATTCTCCCTCCATGTTGAGGTTGTAGATTGCTCCCTCTTCTGTTAACATCATATCACAGATTGAGGTTGTATATTGCTCCCTCTTCTGTTGAAATAATATCACAGATTGAGGTTGTAGATAGCAGGTCTAGATGTGCACATTAGACATTGATGGCCCTCGGAATTGACTCTATAAAAGCTGTAAAGACTACATTATGAATTTATGATTTCATGGTATTGTTATGTTTTCTTTATTTCCTTTAACATGGTGGTTTATGAATTATAATTCGTTATTGTTAAAAAGAAAAAAAAAATAGTACACCACTAAGCCATATGCTTAGCGATAGTTGCTTTTGTACTATCGCAGGAAAAGGAAAGGAAAAAGAACCAGGAGGAGAGGATCATTTTTATTTGATGTAGATAGTATGCTACTGATGTAGCTATTGTATATATGACTTATTTTGGAGTATGTATGATGTATTAAACATTATGATGCTATTAAACATTAACCAGATCATTATGTATATTGAGCCAGATCATGTAAATTATGATTGCTATGAATTTTTGAAAATTTAAGTCTATTAAAAGTAATTAATTTCTATTATTGTATCTAAGATTTGAACAGGGACTCCAATATGTAATTAAATCATCATTGGACTTATGGAGTTATGGAACCATTTATTTTATGTTTTTTTTTATAATATGTTTAAGAAATTATATTGAGATCTAATATCTACCAAAGAAGTTATAATATATTTAATAACTAAAATATTTGCCTTACAAGATATTAAAAATGAAGGAATTAAAAGGATTTAAGTCCCTTGTAGGTTTAAGTCCCTTGTAGTATACTTAGTAAGCATTTATAAGAATTAAGTGCTTATTAATTATATTACGGGCGACATGCCATGTCTTACAGTAGAGTAAGGTGTGACATGTTTACTTTGGTATCAGAGCAGTTTTAATTGCATATTGGATTATATTTTTGCTGAATATAAATGTGTGAAATGTAATCTGCTCAAATATGACATGGCTATTAATTGTTGGATATCTACATCATACAATATTCTAATACGATGCATGGTTTTCTGTGATAATATACAGAGAGCTTGTTATTTTTGATCGATAGTATGGAGGGTGTTAGTCGGGGAGATAATTTTAATCCGCTTGAGGAGCAGTCTGAAGCGAGACAGGAAGAGCGTGGTAATTGCTCCCGAAGCATGCTGATGTCCCTGGTTGCACCAGCTCTGACCCTATAGGCCAGCAGATGCTGCGTTATGAGACAACATGGCGGCCGTAACTACAGCAACAGGAAAAGCAGCCAGTTAGACAGTATGATTAAGTTGGTTAATGTATGGGGCCACAGATGTTTTAGCACCACTGACCCGATGACCCGATGGTAGCTGAGCAGTGGCTAGAGAGGATTGATAGGGTTTTCCTAAAACTCCAGTGTGATGATGCTCAGAAGTACGATTATGCAGTCTCTGACATCTAATCAGCCTCAACCCTTTTTGTTTTTGCAGAGAATAGAAACTCAAATCAAGATATTAGAATCTGCCACAACACCAGTTCTGACTTGGGCAGACTTCCTGAGGGAGTTCAAGAAAAAGAATGTTCCATCTACCTATGTGGATGCCAGGATAGAGGAGTTTCTACAGCTCAAACAGGATCATAGGACTGTAGCTGAGTATGAGAGGGAGTTTACTCGGTTGAGCTATTATGCTGGGAGTATGTTAGTTACAGGCAGGGACAGGTGCAAGGGATTTGAACAGGGATTGAAGCCCATTATTAAGAGTCATGTGATTGGCTTTGAACATGAGAATTTTTTTGCATTGGTATCACAAGCTCTGAATCAGGAGAAGGTTGAGCAAGAAAAGGCTATAGAGAAGGAGAAGAGTGTCAGGAGGACTTTCCCAGGGGCTAGTGCTCTAGTAATAAAAAAGAGGAGATTCTTTAGTCCATTTCCTCCTAGACTAGCAGTGTGAGGCCACATAGCCAGAGACAGTTCAGACCACCATTGCCACCTCCACGAGCTCCCCAGTTACTCGTAGTTGTGTTTCATTGTGGTACAATATCAGGTAGATATCATGGAGGAGTGTGTAAGTTGACCACAAGAGCATGTTTTAACTGTGGCGAGGTTGGACACTTTGTGAGGGATTGCCTTAGACCGAGAATGACTACGGCATATGCAGCCACAGAGGGATCTATTCAAAGACTAGCTGCTAGTTATGGATCTTCTCAGTCTGCAGGCAGAGGTAGGGGTAGAGGTAGAGGTAGCATGTCGGGTAGTGAGGGGAGAGTGAATCAAACAGAGCCTATTGGTGTGCCAGCTAGAGTTTATACTATGAGGCAGAGGTAGGATGCCGATTCAGCTGATGTAGTGGCTGGTATATTTTCTTTATTTAATCATGATGTTTATGTGTTGTTTGATCCTGGATCATCTCACTCTTATATTAGTGATATTTAGTGCTTGGGATTTCTTGCTATGCATCTTCCTATGTTTTGCGATTGGGGTATGATGGTGCTTGTATCGAAGTCCATTAGGACAGGAGCGTTATTGTTAAACAATTATATTCCTGATTGCCCAACTCATAATCCAAGATCATGTATTCCCTTCTGATTTAGTTTGAAGATGCCTTTCGGAGATTTTTGATGTTTATTTTGGGCATGGATTGGTTAAAAAAATATCAAGCAACGTGTTGATTGTGACCCTTAAGGAAGATACTATTTAAACTTGCCAGAAATATATTGATGTGTGATACATGGTTGGAGAGACAGATACTTTCCTCATACTGTGATAACTGCCAGCTTTAGCTCAGGAAATGATCCGTCATGGTTGTGAGGCATACCTAGCTCACCATTGTGATGGACACAAGGGTAGTACTCCTAGTCTTTAAGACATGGCATGTCGCCCGTAATATAATTAATAAGCACTTAATTCTTATATTTGCTTACTAAGTATACTACAAGGGACTTAAACCTTTTTATTTCCTTCTTTGTGGTCAACTTACACACTCCGCCATGATATTTACCACAATGAACACAACTACGAGTAACTGGAGGAGCTCGTGGAGGTGGCAATGGTGGTCTGAACTGTCTCTAGCTCTGTGGCCTCACACTGCTAGATCTAGAAGGAAATGGACTGAAGAATCTCCTCTTTTTACTACTAGAGCTACTAGCCACTGGGAAAGTCCTCCTGACACTCTTCTCCTCTGTAGCCTTTTCTAAATCAACTTTCTCCTGATTCAAAGCTTGTGATACCAATGCAGAAAAATTCTCATGTTCAAAACCGATCACATGACTCTTAATACTGGGCTTCAATCACTGTTCAAATCTCTTGCACCTGTCCCTACCTGTAACTAACATCCTCCCAGCATAATAACTAACATCCGCCCGTAATGACATAATAACTCATCCAGCAGCATTCATGACTTTGATGAACACGATCTTCAAACCTTACCTTGACCAATTTGTTGTGGTTTTTATTGATGACATTCTGTTCAGACCTTACCTTGACCAGTTTGTTGTGGTTTTTATTGATGACATTCTGATATATTCCAAAGATATAGAAGAGCATGATAAGCACCTAAGAATGATTTTTCAAACTCTTCGAGAAAAACAACTTTATGCTAAGTTTTCTAAATGTGAATTTTGGTTAGCACAAGTTGCTTTTCTTAGTCATATTGTATCTGCAGAGGGTATTGCAGTGGATCCTGGTAAGATTGAGGCTATTTCCAGTTGGAAGCCACCAAAGAATGTTTCCGAGATTCGTAGTTTCTTGGTTTGGCTGGCTATTATCGCAGGTTTGTTAAGGGATTTTCTATCATTGCTTTGCCCTTAACTAAACTATTGCGAAAGAACGTTAGATTTGAATGGACACAAATTAAATGTCAGGAGAAGCTTATGATAAGCTGAAGAAGTGCTTGACTGAAGTGGCCAGTTTTGACTTTACCTTATTCCAGGTAAAGAGTTTACTGTTTATAGTCGATTCTTCTCATAATGGGATTAGTTGTGTGTGATGCAGGATAGAAATGTATTGCTTATGCATTCACGCCAAACTTAAACCCACATGAGAGGGAATTATCCCACGCCATGATTTGGAACTTGCAGCCATTGTATTTGCATTGAAAGAGTTATGGAAGACCATTATCTTTATGGTGAGAAATGCATATCTTCACAGAATCATAAAAGTTTGAAGTATTCTGGTACTCAAAGGGAGTTGAATTTGCGACAGGAGCGATGGGAAGATGGCTTGAGTTGATAAAAGATTATGACTGTATTATCGATTATCAGCCAGGGAAAGCTAATGTGGTAGCAGATGCACTGAGTCGTAAGACTATTACTAGCCTGAGGACTACAGCGTTATCTCTAGTCCATGATCTACGGTCTATCAATGCTAAGATTGAGAAGATTTCTGACAATTGGGTGTTAGCTAATCTTCAGGTGAAGCCTTTATTGATTGATCAAATTCGAATAGCAATAGTGACTGATGATGAATATCAAAAGATTCTTTTAGAGACACAAGAGAGTAAAAGACCAGATTTTTCTGTCAGTAGAGATGGGTTATTACTATTAGATGGGTTATTACGATTTCGGGACCGGTTATATGTTCCTTCAGATTTAGATTTGAGACATCTCATCTTGAAGGAAGCACATGAGTCTCCATTTGCTATGCATCCAGCGGGACCAAGATGTATAGGGATTATTGGTGGACTGGTATGAAGAAAGATCTTGCTGAATTTGTAGCTAAATGTCTAACTTGTCAACAAGTTAAGGCAGAACATCAAGTACCAGCAGGATTACATCATCCACTTCAGATTCCAGAATGGAAATGGGCATCCAATAACAGTGCCAACATGGAAATGGGATTAGATCACGATGGATTTTGTTACCGAATTACCTCAGACGTAGCGGAAGCATGATGCAGTATGGGTAATTGTAGACAAATTAACCAAATCCGCGCACTTTCTACCAGTCAGGATGGACTATTCTCTAGACAAGTTAGCAGAAATTTATGTTAGAGAAATAGTTAGACTACATGGAGTTCCATCATCCATTATATCTGATCGTGATCTAAGGTTTACATCGAAGTTCTGGGGTAAATTGCAGGAAGCATTAGGAACAAAACTGCATTTCAGCACTGCATTTCATCCTCAGACAGAATGCCAGTCAGAGAGAGTAATTTAAATCCTAGAAGACATGATGAGATCATGTGTTATAGAATTTGAAGGCAGCTGGGACAGATATGTACATCTCATGGAATTTGCCTACAACAACAGCTAACAGTACCAGACCAGTATCGGAAGACCAGTATCGGAATGCCTCCATATGAAGCTTTATATGGTAGAAAATGTAGGACACCTCTATGTTGGGATGAAGTTGGTGAAAGGCAATTACTAGATCCTGAAATTATTCAACAAACAGAATAAAAGATCAAAGTAATTAAAGAAAGATTGAAGGCGGCGACAGATCGACAAAAGTCATATGTGGATCTAAAGAGAAGAGATATAGAGTATAAGGTGGGTGCCATGTTGGCCAACATCCTCCTCTTTCAAGGTATAAGAATCATAAAATTCATTTACATAAGTCATTCGGTCATATGCTTTCAAAATAATCTTTTTCCTCTACTTTGAGAGGATGGTCCATTGGGCATATAGGTTATCCTTACGCACAGACCTCGATAAGATCATTAATGATTTCCATGTTTCTATAGCTTCGGGCGCATATAGATCGGACCCTCACATATATTTGCCTTTAGAATCAATTGAAGTTAATCGAGACGTCACATATGATGAAGAACCAGTGGCTATCCTAGCTAAGGATATCCTAGCTAAGGAAATTAAGCAACTTCGGAATAAACAGATTCCCCTAGTTAAGGTGTTATGGCGAAGCCACTCCAGAGAAGAGGCTACTTGGGAACGTGAAGAAGATATCAGAAGACAACATCCACAATTATTCAGAGATCTATAACAGGTAAAATTTTGAGACGAAATTTCTTTAAGGAGGGAAGAGTTGTAATATCCTCAATTTTGTAGTTCTTCCTATTTTAGCTTTTTCGATGAATTCGGTTATCCGAATAAAAGGAAAACTTAAAATAATGGGAAACACTATAGATTGAGGATATTAATATTAATTAAATGTTGAGGGTAGCCAAAAAGGCACATTAAATTTAGAAGGACCTTTAATGGAGGGGATAAGGAATTAAAATATATGATTTTTTATTCATTCAATTATTTTTTCTGGTGAAAACATACTCTTATGAATTGAAATCTCACTCTTTTCCATAATCCTCTATCACACGAGGAAATACCAAAATAGAATCCCAGACGAGAAAAAATGAAACTATAAAAAAAAATAGGAAAATCACCACATAAAATTTAGATGTTGTTAGAGAGATGTTGATTGTGAGCTTTACTGGAATCTGAAAAATTGTTATGGGCGGTTTTAGATTCTGTACTTTTGGGACTATCTCCTCTGCTGAAATACAGAGGGGAGCATGGACTGTAACTACACAATTTCTTCTTAGTAACTTTAACTAGGTAAGGTAGAGTAAACGTCAAGATGATCAGTACTTCTGGGATGTACCTCGAACAAAAAGTGCGATAATGAAAGTGCTTAAATTTTCCTTTGTTCCTTTTTTATCCCTCTGTAAATTTAATTAACTATAAGTGTTATTATTAATTTTTCTTTCTACATGAGTATTAAACTGTTATGTGCCCTATTACCAAGGATTTGACCAAGAACCCGAAGGTGCCCTATTTAGATTGCCCAGTAATTGGATGATTATATTTTTACTACCTTGAGAATGTTGTGATATCTACTCAAAAGTGCAGGATCTTTATTTGCCCACACCAAGAGTATTAAGAATACTCCGATTGAACAAAGTATTAGAAGTAGGTAAAGAACCAAAGAGAAAGTTTACATTGAAAAGAGATGTAAACTATGACATAATCCTATAAGGTCTGAGGATTATAATAGAAGTGCAAATTGAATCATTGAAAAGGACATGGAAGGGAAGTGGTTTTAAATAAAGTTTATTAATATATTTATTGA